ATTGAGATTGAAGATTGACAAATTCAAATTTGACCAATCGAAACGAAAGGAACTAAAATTTCTTTGTCCCTATTGGTCAAATTTCAATCTTCAATCTTCAACCTCAATCTTCAATGCGTAGTCTGATTCCGGCCTAAAGGAAACTGCCTAATTAATTTTGTCTGAACTACTTTGATTTTGGAGACGTTTTCTAATTGCTTTGAGCCTTCTTTAGGCATTCCGTGAAGCAATAGTAGTCATCGTACCAAATAAGAAAGGAGATAAAATGAAGAACGCACAGTCGCACACGCCCGATCGCTTGCGCGCGGCGATCTGCCGCGATCTGCTGCGATCTGCTGCGATCGCCGTGAAACGTCATTCACGCGCGCACAAAGAGTTGGCTTTCAATTGTGTTTCAACACCCTACTTCCTCATCCTGCAGTCGATCAACCCAGATCAACCGATCGACGTAATTTGGAAGCGCAATTTGAAAAAGTCTCGAACGATTCGAATCGATGCGATGCGCAACCCTGTGCGATCCGCAAACACGACCGACACTCTTTTCGCCGCGTCGCGTCGGCGCCGATGCCGGTGAAATCGCACCTGATCGCACCAGCAGCGATCTCTCCTTCGTCGGCGATCTTTCTCGCCGAGCGATCGATCACTTTTTCACCGCAGCGCCGAGAATCCCGCGCGATCGGTCAGGATTATTTATCCGCGATGGGTTCTGAGTCAGACTGCTCTTTCGCGTGAATCGCGTGTCCCGGTCCCACCGCCCGCATCTTGCGGGAGGGCGTTTGCACACGGCACCACACGACGCCGGACTCTAATCTCTATTAATAAATGCTCGCACCGCCTCTCATCTCGTCTTGTCTCGTATCGTTCCTACGGGGCAGAATGCGAAGCAAAAGCGAGAACGAGAGACAGACAGACAGACAGACAGAGAGAGAGAGAGAGAGAGAGAGAGAGAGAGAGAGAGAGAGAAAAGAGGAAGAAAGAGCCGAGATGCAGAGAGAACGATCCTACTCTCCGAGGGCTCGGCCTCATGCAAGCGCGACGATGATCGCGCGAATCGCCATCATTTGCGACTTTGTGGCACGTCGTGAATTGTGGCAGACGACAATTAACATCTGCTCGAAAAATTCGATCGATGCGCCAACCACGTAAATGTACAATCAGAAACTTCAGCGTAAACTTTTTAAGAGACTTCTTATCACGAAAATCGAAATCGTCGTAGCTTTGTAGTACGAGAGACGACTGGAGAGAGAAAAAGAGCTTATAGGTTTATGCATTTCATCAAAAATTGTCATAAAAAGTTATCGGTACTGCTGCGATGTTTTTAGCGAAACTACGCGACTTTTAATCTTCAATGTATCATGTTCTCAATCTTATACGAGCGACTGTTGCACGCGACATCGCGTTCAACGTGTATTACGTTCCCGATATTCTACGGGAAGGAAAAGCATATAATTCCACGCGATTCGAAAGCAGCTCGTTAATTCGTCCTCGGTATCGAGGAAGCGATTAAAATTTTGTTTGGTTCCACTCGATCCGTGTTCCGTGAGTCTCCGCAAATACCGCAATTTTGAAGTTGTATAATATACATATGTAGCATTAACGTCGCTAAATAAAGCCGATACGTAGGAAAAACTGAATCTTTACAGATACTTTTCACAGATTTTATGGATTACGTCACAATATATATTTATAACTTTAGCAAATTTAAAACTTCTTTTTAGTAAAAATGCTTCATTCAAATCCGATTCAAAAATCACCATGTAAACAGTAATAATTAAATTATTAAATATTATATATATGTGTGTGTATGTCGATAATTTATAGAATCGGTGATTTGGCGCAACACAGCTTCTTTTTTTATCGTCACGCGAGAAATCTATTGACATTTGCTGATAAATAAGAGTGCCTGACTTACCAATCCGATTTCCGTCACACAGCTGACGATAATAACACCTGAAAATGTCACTTATATTTATCTCACTACAAGTAGACTTTAATTTAAATACATTATAAATAAATTGTTCGAATTTAAGATTAATTAAGGTAACGATTTATCCACATTTTAATCATTCGGTTTTGGTTAGTTTATTCGATTTCATTCGATTTCATCGAATAAACTGATAAAAACATCAAGTAGTGAATAATGCGTTGTGAAAATAAGAAGCGCAAACCTGTTTGCAAAAAGCCTGATTGAGATGAGGATTCAAACCGTAATAGGTTCTTGGAAACGATGATCGTGTTCAGATAACTTGGTTCAACGGTAATCGGTGTACAAAGTATTTTACGTCACAAGCTGCCATAATTCCATCCGGTACGTTAACCGCGTGAATGACGTTAATGATGACGCTGCAAGTAAAGACAATGGAACGCAGTGATTGAAGGTGCTAACAACAAGATAAGGACGTGCATCTCTCGTTCGCCTTACTTGAGTGCAGCCCGACACGTAAAAATTTGAATAAAATTGCGACATTACACGCAATATCGCAAACTGCTCCTATCTGTAACATGTGGTTATTAATACGGTAAATTATGCTTTTTTCTTACCGATATTTAAAAGGTTCGAAACACGTACAATATATATACATATATATATAGTGTGTGTGTTTGTGTGTGTGTGTGTGTGTGTGTGTGTGTGTATATTCAGAATCGACAAATCCCCGCAAACAGCGCTGATAAAATTTAATCTCACTCTTCTCGGAATCTTGAGAAATCGATACGAATGTTTTCTATATTGTAAAATAATTTAGTTGTTGAAAGTGTGGCTTTTATTACGTCGAAGCTTTCGCCGCAGATGGTCGATAGCTGGCCGCTGTTTGGAAGTGATGATGAAACGCGATTTTATATCGATGCATATTTATTAATTGAAACATTCCGTGGGGCATATATTCTTAGATGTTGCAATCAGCTTTTAAATAATGGATTTCGGTTTTTTGGAATGTTCTGGACTAATTGAATATAATGGACACTCTATCATCTGTTTCTCGATCGTAATATTACATAAGAAAATCCAGCGAATACGAATTGATTGAGATTAACTGACAATGAGATTGAAAAAACAAAAATTGAGTTTTATCAAAAAGTTTTCAAATCGACTTATTTTCCAGAAAAAGTGACATTTTAGGAAAAGCATATCTTTCTATATGAGATGACGGAGATATCCGACGAAATATAAGAGAACTTGTTCGGAGCAGAAATTTAGGGATATATAAAACATAATTCTGTAATCAGAAAAATTTGAAAGAGGAAGAACGCTTGAAAATAGGCAGAAGTGATAAAATAATAATTTGCGATCATAATGTTCATTAAATTTAAATCCGTGCGAGTGAACGTTTTAAAATCGCCTACAAAGAAATCGATATATTATTTTAATGGAACAAAGCAGTCGAAGCTGGATTACTAATAGTAACCGAATTATTGCCGTATGAATAATATATCGCATCAAAAGTTTTTGCGATTTATTTGCTAGATGCGTCGCAGTTTCTCAAAGGTATACGAAGGACCACATGAAAGATTCGTCCACCACCGGTTTAAAGGGTATCATCTCATCGATTTTACAGAGGACTTTCGAGGTCAATGACGTATCACGCTTGTACATCTCGATGACTCTCTTGATGGCCAGAGAGCTGGAGATAATTCCACGCGCGAAAACACAAATTTTCACCCGCGAAAAATACGCGAAAGAGAACGCAGAAACGCCCACGTACATACTATACGCTCGCGTTGCTTCTCCTCGCGACCGAAACCAGTCGATATTAGAAGCAACTAACATGAATATACTCACGTTCATGACGAAGAGAGCAGCTGGTGGCCGTGCCACTCGCGCACAACCGACGCGTACATTAAGACATCGCGGCGAGGACTCCTCGCCCGTCGGCTCATACGTTAAACGATGTAATTCGAACGACGACGTTGCACCTTATTGGCCGATTATCGAATCTTGGGAAACGAGACACACTTTCGCGAATGTATATTCTGAGTCACTGGAATCGAAGCCAGAACCTCAGAACCCCTCCCTGGCCGCGACAACCCTCGTGCAATTGCGAACGCGCATGTCTCTGCGAAAAGGGGATGATACGATCCCTCTTTTCACCTCGAGGTTCTTTTCCTTCGTGCGCCCTACGAACGTGAAGACGATTGTCCATCCGGAATTAATAAGTCGGATTTTCTTGCGCTTGTATCCGGAAATTTAATACTCGTGTCATTGCGAATGTCTAATTATTTCTCTCGCATCATTGAAATAAATTAACAAAAAGAACTTAGATTGAATAGAGAGAAATAAACGTGTTATGGGATGAATAAATTCAAGTTCAGCGTAAAATAATTATTTGTTTATCGAAATCTTTTCTCCTTGATCCGATATCATTACTCGTAGATTATTTGCTCCGATTCAATTATATATCAACCGTATCAAATGCATGAAATAATTTTATCCAAATCAATAGATAGATACTCTCTTATCTCTATCGTAGTTGCAGAAACGATTTGCGATAACAATTAAGATACATTAAGATACTGACGATCAACTTGACTGAATAGATGAAGTTTGTTCAACTTTTGATGGAGCGAAATCAGATCAATCATGTTGGTTTATTAAACTCTCTCTCTCTCTCTCTGTTATTGATTTTTGATAAATGTATAATTGTATATTAAGAAAAATGAGAAAATTCATTTAATTCATGATTGTCAAAAAAATACAATTATCATTTTATTTTGCTAATGAAACGTTTATTTAATTAATAGGTACAGTGTTTCACGCTGTACTTCTACTAATTTCATAGTTACAATTGTACGTACAATACAATTTTAAGAAATTCTAAGTAAAATTATGCGATTTCTTTAACAAAATCGCAATTTCAAATCATTTTTTAATTATGGAATATCTTATTATTCTATTGAACAAATGTGTACAAGACAGATGTACAAGATACCTTTATAAAAAAATAGAAATTTTTCACGATGATATGTAACGACGCACAAGCACAATACTTGAAGACAATACTAAATATTTATAGAAAAATAATCTACTTATACTAAGTACTTATGAAATATTAAACTTTACATAATGATTATCATTATGTATAAGCTTTATAGCCTTAATTATCTACACTCTTTTCTTAAATGTCTCTTTGTACGTATCGATTATATATACAACATATCTAATTCTTTTAACTGTACTATATGACGGGAGCAATAAATCAGTCATTGAGGTCATTTGGCATTACAAATCAGTAAACATACACACACACACATACACACGCATATATATATTCATATGTATATGTTATATATGTATATATATGTACACAATCATATTTTGTGTATACATATTAAAGTTATTATATGATAGGTATGCAAAATTTGCAATCGCATTTTTTAGGATTCTTTGTGTCCAATACTATTCATACAAATTGTTATAATTACTCTAGAATAGAATAATTGATAAATCGATCGAGAAATATATCTAATGTCAAAACTTTTATAATATTAAAGGAATAGCTAAAAGCTCATTCCTGATGAGATTTGGAGGTAGATATACAAGGCAAATGTGATTGAATTGGTTGATCGTTAGTGATGATAAAAAAAATATAAGGAACATTATTAAGGAATGCATGATGTCGATACTTCGAATACTAAAGAACGATTAGAAAGTAACTCCCTTAATCAGAGGAATTGTTGCGATAATAAGTTACGTGATCAAATTCTCTTAATATCTAAATGCGAAAAATAAATATGTTTATTAACAAAAATGTATACTGCTAAACGTACCGTCTATTTTTTGGCGTTTTACGACATCTTCGTCTTCCGAAAATCGCAATGATACAGATGACTATTATCGCAATGAGAACTGCACTTATGGCCCATACCGCTTTACTAGTACTAATCTTTGGTGTGCTATTTTCTGTGTCGTTCGAAATAATATCGGGCATCGATGATTCGTTAAAAGAGATTTGAGTTGTTAAGTCGAACCCAGAATTTTTCGGCTTATCTTCCATGTATATGGACGATTTAGATACTAAAGATTTTTCTACTTTTGATTGTATATTTTTCGTGTTACTCGTTATCTTGTATGCTTTTGTTATTATCCTGTGTGTGGTAGTAGTAATCGGAGGCGTTGTAGTAGGAGTGTTGATCTCTCGTAAGATATGTTTCTCCAATTCTTCAAGTTCGTTCTCTGCTGTTGCTCCAGATTTGTATTCGAAATTTTCCTCGTTTTCTTCAATAAATTCTTCTAGCGGTGTAAAATACTGAATAAGTGCATCCGCAGATATATCGTCTATATCAACGAATTTATTTAGGACATCCTGCCACTCGCAAGCTCCACTGTGTTGAATCATTTTTCTATATACAAATATAGAAAAGTTAATAAAATTAAAAGTTTATCGAGACAAATTTATTCATTAAATGCAATTAAAGAATTAAGAGAAAGCGTATAGGTATATTTTTTTATATCAACTTACATTATATTGTTATTCATTAATTTTTCATCAAAATTATATCTAATTTCTGTCGAATCCATGTTATATTCATATAATTGAAAAGATAGCATTATGCCAAGAATTTTGCTGCATTAATAGAATATTTTTCATTATTTTATTACTGTGATAGATAATATAATTATGTATGTACATCTATAAACTGATCATCAGTATACTTACGAAAGATATGGTTTATTTCTAACAATATGACTATCGTCTATAAAGGTAGGGTAATCCATATCAATAGAAGAGATACCTTCATACTCTTGCCTAACATAGAAAATTAAAACTTCAGATATTATAGTTGTGTAAATTATATCGATTTCTAATAAGTGTTATACTGTAGGGGCCGGTGGAAAAATTGAACGGAGTCTATTGAGATTTGAACTCGGGATCCCTTATAAATTTTTACAAATCTAGCACTGTGTGCTAAGCCAATAACGCTCCACTGTTGTCATAATTATTTCGATCGTCTATATATAAATAGTCTTACGGTTCTTTTTATTTTCCTACAATACCTACCTGTAATTCCACCAAGATGCTATCAAGTCTGCTGGATTTGTAATATTTTCTCGAATTGCATTTAATCTCCATAAATCAGCGGAGTAATAATATGCTAATCGTGGAAATATATTCAAGGCAGTTATCATTAACGATACAATCATTCGTTGCTCGGGATCCTTAGTACTATTCATTAAATGAGTATGATTGAGCCATGCAGGACTTGCCGATAGTATTCCAAATAGTGTTGATATACCTTCTTCTAATCCTATAAGATCAGATATCTTTAATGTTGAATGCTATTTTAACATTTTGATGACCATTGACACATATGTATAATAAATTAATATTTGTGTTTAATGAATTAATATTTTCTTACCAGAATATCTGTTCACTGTATCGAGAACTGGAGTGTTTTCTACAGTCATTTGATTAAATAGTACTTTACCAACATCTTCATGTGCTACAAAGAAATTGCTTATTGTGGCTTTGGAACAAGTAGAAACTCTAAAATAATATTTCAATTTAGCAAAATACTATTAAATTGTGTGATGCTATTATGATACATAATAATACATAACACTAAGCAAACTCTAACCAGATAATATGCGTATCTAAAAGATATCATAAAGATGTATTTTAAATGTATGAAATTGTATAATATATTTCGATGTACATGCCTCATTGTACCATCTCGACAAAAGTTTAACAATCTGGATGGACACTGTTGATTAAATTCACTTTTATCCCAAAATTCTGCTTGCGGAACTTGTTTCAATAGTAATGAACCCAAACTGGATGCAGTCTTGTACAGAGATTTTCCAACATATTTCTATATAATTTAACAAAAAATTTCAAGTGTTACTACAACACTCTGATTATAATCTGTAAGTCTAACATAAACATGAAACAGCAATTTCTACCTTTCTCCAAAGATTTTTTTTGAGATTATAGATTAACTCTGAGTAGGGTAACGCATCTGATGATATATCTGTCCAATCGTACCCTTGTAAGCTATCTTTCGAATGGAATCATACAAATTCAAATTATACAGTAGAATAAAAAAATAAAAGTTACAATAAAAGTTAAAATTAACCATCAGTTGTTAATTAACTTATCAGTTGTTTGCTATTTTTACATACACTATTGTTATCTTACCGAGTAAATAAGCCGGAAGTGTATCATTTATAGTAACATTGTACTTTCGAGCCAAGTTTGTACTGATAAATTTGACAATCTTCTTGTGAAGATTATTAATCCGACTCCACTCACTATTTATTTTGTCGTATCCACCAGAGTATCCTGACAGCATTTCCCAATATTCCTCAACATTTTTGATACCTACAATTAAATATATTTGAATATTATTCTCGTTCAAAACATTTAACACGCACACTGATAATTTGTATTTTACATATAAATTATCTATCTGTATTGACACTAACCGTTTTGTTTTGCAGCTTCAGCAACGAGTAGCAAATTGTTTGAATAATTTGTCACTAATGGTATAAATTGGCGATACCAAGCATTCCAAGCAGTTTGTTTATCTTCTAGTTTTCTACTATGAGAGAGCAAATATTCCACACCTAAAATTATATAATTATAATAGTTGTATTATACAGTTTGTTTACAACTACTATACTGAATCTCTATCATAATATGGAATATTCGTTAATGAGAAATAATTCTTATTTTTTTTATATGTGATACGTTTTATGTGATTAAAACAATAAAACTATACCTTCCCGTGAATAATTTTGCGATTTATTAATATAATTGATAAATGATCGTTGCAATTCCACGATGCCAGCGAAATGAATAAACTGTAAGTTATAAAATAATATAAAGTGTTAAACTATTAATTGTAAAATTGAAAAGAGTCTCTTACCTTCCTCCAATCTTCGTTTTTTAGTAATGTGTCACCAGGTTTTTCAATCATGTCATATTTATATTGAAGAGATGACTTCAGTTGTTCTTTTGTATTTTTTATTTTATCAATTATTTCATTTTTTCGCGTTTTCGTAAATTCTGTATAATTATATTGCTGTATCTCCTAAAATATAGCAAGACGGATATTATTTAACTTATTATTTATAGAAAAATAAATCATTATTTTATTAAACAATAATTAAAATTATTAAAATAGTAATATATTATACTTACCCATATTGACAGTGTTTTATTGGAAGGTGACAAGATAAATGACCACTGAACATTGGCAATGTTGTAACATATATCTTCATAATCTAATTCGATTAGTTCGAAGAAAGCTTTAGCTTCATCCTCCAAGAGAGTTTCTTTGTGTGGGGCAGTGGTTACATAGACAATAAGATTAAAAACAATCCAACTCCATTTCGGTAACATCTCTTTGGCCTGCAAATAAAACGTTTGTGTTTTTATTTGGTACTGCAAATTAGTACAATAGAAATTGTAGCAAGCAGGTATAACATAGGAATGTAGTATCGACTTGTCGACTAAAAATTTAATTTTTTATCAGCAATGTTGAACTTTAAAGGTATAGTCAATTTTTTGATCATGAATTTTGATAAATATAAATCTGTAAAAAATAAGTAAAATACGATCCACTTCTTCTATGATAGTAACAATTTGTTGTTAAAGTTTTCACGTATATGAGAATTTTTTAAGATTTTTATGCGGTCCAAAATGGTACAAAAATCTGCATTGCAGTTCAAAGATTCAGGAAATTGTGCGCTTCTATTTGTCAAGAAAGTTAATTTCTCTCTCTAAGATTTATTTCTTTTTAAATTAAATATAAAAAGTATAGCAAGAGAGACATTAATATGTCGCGTTTGTATATACATGTATATCGAGATGCGTTCTATCATCTATTTGCTCAATGTCTATTTCTACCAACATAGATTAACTTTAATCTCGGTTTAATTTACTCTTTACTCTTTCCTAATTCTTAGAACTATTAGTGTTCATAGAGATCGAATGATGCATTCATAATTTAGAAAATGTATGAGGCATTCCATGTCAAACCGGGTACTTTTGAAGTATTGTCATCTTCAATTTAAATAAAAAATAGAATGATGATATTTCAAAGATGTCCGGAATCCTTCATAAGCATTTATGGCGCAAGGTACGTCTAAGGGTGTGCCGTAATATCATTATCAAATATTACGCGGTAAGCGAGTTAGTCATCTGTACTGCGCTGCTATTGGTCACGATTACTCATTCGATGCAGGTAAATTTAACAAAAAGTAATATTATAGATACGTTGAAAGTTTATTATATAATATTTCAATACTTTTTAGAAAAAAAGCAATCACACACACGCACGCACGCACGCACTCACGCACACATTAAATGAAGGAAATCTATCCTAAATGAATGGTACATTTAAATAAATTACATAATTATGTTTCGAAGTTGGTACTTGAGAAACTACCAAGACTACCACTAGTCAGTAATCTACTTTCATGGATCATGAAGAATACGAGAGAGAAATAAATTAGTGATGATTCAAATGATACTTGATTAGACAAAAAGACGATAGATTTTCTTTACTGAAGATATTTTCATCATTTCTATGTTAAAGTGATGAATTTTTTACAATTTTTTTATTGTATGACAACGAGTTGTTTAAACATACTGCGTAATAATCCGGTAAAAAATTTTTCATGCATGAATATGTATAAATATGTCTAAATACACAAACACGTATAAATATTCATAAACATGTATAATTATATATATATATATATATGACATATGTACATATTCATATATCCCTTTTTCTTTTGTAAAATTACTTTTTAGTGTAATAGAAATAGTAATAGTAATGTGAAAACATTAAAAATAATTAAAGGGATAATTTTCACATTGTTCGTTTTAGAAAAAAACCAGTTTGTAAAAATGAAAAAAAATGCTCACACACAATTATTACATACATAATTTTATATATAATTATACATAAGTAATTTTTTTACATTTCTTCAAACTTGATTTTTTCTAAAACAAATAGTGCGAAAATTACCCTTTAATTATTTTTAACGTCTTCACATTGCTATTATTATTTCTGTTACACTAAAAAGTAATTACAAGAGAAAAAAGGATGTATGGACATATTTCATATAAAATTATGTATGTTTATGAATATTTGTACATGTTTATGTATGCTTATACATAATTATACATATTCATGTATGAAAAATTTTTTACCCGGAAGTTATTTCGTAATACACTAAATTGCAGTCAACTGGAATGAACGCTGATTCTTAATAGCAAGTTTGCAATACATATAGACGCAATAATACAATAGTATAATAGTTTACTGCAAAGTGAAACTTGAAAAATGCATGGGGAAAATCAATGCAAGAAATTGATCATTAATTTTGAAACAAGTAGAAACTCTAAAAATAACATTTCAGTTTAGTAATGTGCTATTAAATTGTAAGAAATGCAAGGCACACAAATAAACTTAGTAAATATTTTGAAAGTTGACGGAAATGATAGAATATAGAAGGCGTCAGGCGATTCTCAGATACGACTCTTCGTTGAGTTGATCTCTAGGAAGTTTACATATGTAGATAGTGCACTGCGCAGAAAATTGTGATTGAGCCAAATGTGGTATAAAAGAGAGATAGAGAGAAAACAAAATTTATCATATATCACGCGCACACTTGGTTCGCGTCCTACTACTGTTTGTGAGATATATTTTTATCTTGGCCACGCTCTTTCGCGAGGGTAACAGTGGTAACACGATGCGTGGTCCAAGAGTCGGCCCAAGTCGCCCGCAGCGATCACGACGATTTTTCCATCTAACAGCTACTCGACATACCTGTCTGTATGAATGAAATCAATCATGAATATTAAAGAGAACGAAAAAAACCGGTTTCTGCGCGGCCAATTCAAAAGAATCTCATTTTTTCAGAGGATTGTTTTAATCGCTTATTAGCATCTCACAATGTCATGTCTTTTCCCAAAAAAACAGGGAAAAGTTTAGAATGACCTTCTAGCAGGTGTCTTTTTCTTGATAATTCAATATTGAATTCTTGATAATTGAATAATTCAAAAGCCTGAAAAAAACTTACTCTTTTTTTAGATTTTTTCTTTTGTATTTATATCTGAAAAAAAATGTATTAATTTATAATTATACAAACTATTATATAAATGAAGAATTAAAGCGATTTCCAAGAGTTATTTTCTATGAGCTTATTTTATTTCCTCCTAAAAACACGATTTAACGAACGTTTTCCTGTTTGGCGAACTCTGCAAATTTCCATTTATATATAACGTGAGTTATAACCGAATACCAAAATAATCATGTTTAATAGGTAGCTCTCATTACATTATGACGAATTAATTGCCGTCTTGGAAATATTTCGTATCGTAAACACTTTTCGATGATAGTTGTTCAAAATAAAGCGCCGTAAGGTGTAAACACGCAAAGTGATTATTCATCTCAAAGCATGACAAAACAGTTAATTGACAGTGAAATGCAAATATATAGCAACTCAGAACAGCTATGTATATTTATTCATTTATATAATCGTTGATTGAATACGTTTTGAAAAAAGAGAAGGTATTTTCAAAGGAAAAAAAAACTTTATTAATCCAGACAGCACAGAATATCTATGATAATTTGAAATATTATATAGATATTTCATACATATTTTATATAAAGCTTTATTCGAAATATTATTAAAATATAGACTAAATATTTTATGCAATATTTATAATAAATATAAATAAATATTTCTAATAAGTATTTTTTACTTGGATTATATATATATATATTTACAAAATATTAAAAATAAATCTTATAAATATTTTGTAAATATTGTGTGCTGTCTGGGAAGTAGTAATCTTCGTTTTACAACAGCGGTAATTTTTTTACACTCTTTTCGAGATTCGATATAAAACAAGTTTGTATTGAGATTTCGGAGCAAGAATGAGAAGAGGTAGAAAATGTAGAAAAAGGAAATAGTTGGAGAGTATTTACCTTTACAGACGTCGTAGAGTGTCGTTGAGTTGGATTCCCGCGTTTTAGGTTTCAGCTCGTTCTTGCTCCGAACGAAAAACAGAAATGGTCCGAACGAGAGCCGACAAAGAGAATGGATTGTCTCACGGTGGTCAAAGTACGTCGAGCGATTAGTCGAGGAGTGCCGAGGAGTGTCAAGGAGGAGAGTCTACTGATTGACGAACTCACACGGTGCTTGACGCTTAATAGGCCAGCGGTATGTGTCACGTTGTGTCACGTTATCGAGATATATCCGGATTCTGAAATCTGACTGACGTCAACTGACGTCGGCCAACGTACGGCTCAAGTCGCGTATGATGATTGACTGACTGCTTGCTTGCCAAATGCGACCACTGCGAAGTGCGACCGCGATCGATCGGAATGTCTTCGCATCACGCCACTATTTCCATTTCCAAGTTTCAACGTCAGTGCATGACGAGGCGTATCTCAGCTCTCACACGGCTCGCACACAATATTACGCCCGCTGCCCGCGGCCCGCCCCGGTAGCCAGTAAGCTCGGTACCCCAGACTGGCGTACATATGCAACGTGCGCAACGTGCTCCTATACACTCGTATAGTGCCTATTTGAGTATTTGCTGTTGCCTGTTACTGGTTATCCGTTCGTCCTTGTTGCGCTCTTAATGATTAGTAGCAATTAGTAGCAATCACCTCGGATCACCTACGAATCGTACGATCCGTGATCATGTCCTCATAGCCTGTCATAGCCAATCATCGCTGCGAGCTGTAAGGCTGTAACCAATAGATGTATAAATGGTACACCTGGGTATACCTCGTTTGCCACATCCGATCCTTCCATTTTATTTACGCCCATTCGTGCCACTCGAAATATTCGAAATGTTTGAAATACTCGAATAGAGAATTATTTTTGGCAAACGCGATTTCGGATGATCGATATACAATACAACTTCCGCTTTATTAATGATACCAGAGAGAAATTAATCCCGGCCTTACCCTCGGGTTTTTCTTTGGCGATTACTTTAAGTCGGTATAGAAGAAAACGCACTTACTGGGCAACGACATTGCCGCGTACTCTTTTATCGATGTCCAACTTGAGTTACCTTGAATCAGTAATTTCGATTATATTACATTTAAAAAATGGGAAAAATCGCTACTTATTGGAGTGATAATATTTCTTAATAATTTTAATAGAAGCAGGAAAATGCAAAATTATTTTTAAAACTCGTTACCAAGTTAAAAAGGTAACTAATTATCGTTACTATTATTTACTGATCAACAAAAGTAACGCGCGTTATCGTTCCTTATAAAAAGTAACAATTACATACTTTATTTTAATGCAAAAACAAGATTAAATAAAAAGAGTAAATAAATAATTTATTGCTTATAATATTTTTCTCTCATAATTGTAATAAAAACAACTAAATTTTTTATCTTTCCGGTAAAAAAATATTTCATGCATGAATCTGGAAACACGGTAGTATCTCACGTGTGTGAAGTTGGCCCCGCACTTTTCGAATTTTGGATTTTTTTTTATTGTGCTGTGTTGTGCTACGTTT